TTTATTTCAAGATATAACAATACAATGAGAGATACCCGAGAAAGTATTCTAGCCAGAGTAGACACTCAAATTACCCCAAATAAACCAATCATAAACTTTAGTTATTTGGGTGTCTAATCTGGCTAGAATACTTTCTCAAGAATTTCTCCTTGTTCCATGGCACATTAGAAGCTATCCTTAAAGTACTTAAAAATCCATGTATGTTCTGTTTTGGGATCTTAGCATGATGGGCAGACTCGCATATTGTGATTTGTGAATCATGGTTTATATCTCGGTGTACTATGAACTCATTAACTTGGGTTTATTCAATACTTTATAGTTAAACTGTAAAAGAAAAGATAAAGGTCTCCCCTGCCAGTTTTGCCTGACTTTAGGGGGCGCTGCTCATCTCCATTTCCTAGCCGAGGGAGCCCAGCATTGTCCAAGACACTTCCGTGATCATGATATGACATGGAACGTTGTTACATTTTCACCGAAGTGATACTTATTTATCTACTTGCATTTACATGCATTTGTACTGCTAGGTTGGCAGCAGCTGGGGCAAGAGTGGGAACTCACCCTGTCATATGATTCTTGAGGCCCAGAACTGCTGACTTTCCAGTCGACAAGCCCAGCATCTTAACCACTAGGCCACCACACCCATAGTTGAACTGTAGAATCATAGAATTGATTAAAAGCCATGTTGGAAAGTGTTTAGTTCAACCCACTGCAGGAATGCACTATAGTAGTATCCCCAGGAAAGGGCCATCCAGTTTCTATTTAAACAGGTCCAGCTAAGCCAATATCATCATTTGCTGAGCACCCTTTCCATTGTCAAAATTCTTCCTAAATATCTTAACTAAAATTGTTTTGTTTTGTAAACTTGTTGCGCAAGTCCGGTCGGTGTCTTCCATTGCTGCGGATTTTTGATAGATCTTCTATGTTCTATGTAAGTTGTTGCATCAGAAAAAAATTAGATAAATACAAGAGAGGATCCTACAAAATAGTTCCTCCACAGTAATCCATACATATGACCAACATAGAATAGATTAATACAAAGATTAACATGAGACTAACAATCAAGAAGTAAACAATACCCCAGTCGAGGAACTAACAGTAAACAGCCCAACCAAAAACCACCAAGAACTCTCTCACCAAGACTAACAGAGCAAGCTACTAGAATCGTGATACCGAACCTATGGCACATATGCCACAGGTGGCATGCAGAGCCCTATCTGTGGGCATGGCAGCCATCGCCACAGCCCAGTTCTACTGTGCATGTGCACGCCTCCCGCCAGCCAGCTGGTCTTTGGGTCTCTGCCACGCATGCGTGGGGCGCATGTGTCGGACTCTTGCGTGCATGTGCAGGGCGCGGCGCATGTGCGGGTGTGTGTGCTCCCATTGCATTTGGGGGGTTCACGCAAGTGCGTGTGCCTCTGTGCCCCGTTTAGGGCCTGGAAAAGCCACCTGCACCAACCTGGAAGCTAAAAATGTGTGAGGGCGGCTGGGCGCATGCATGGGGGGACATGCACACGCATGCGGGCAGGGCGCATGTGTGAGGGGCGCTCACATTGCATTTTGGGGTTTCACGCACCTTGGGCACTCAGCACCAAAAAGGTTAGCCATCCCTGTACTAGAATATAAACCGAGAGCAAACCCCATTCTTTACTACTACTGATGACGTTACCTAGTTTGGAAACAACCAAGCTCAGAGAGCACCAAGGACTCCTCGTTTCAACCCTGAGCTAAAATATTCTCCTTTATCGACACTTGTATTAAAATAAATTTTATAAAGAAAGATCCTTGGTGCTCTCTGTTATATAGATATTTTTTTGTTTGGGACTGCTGGATCTTTAAGTTTGCTTAGGATGTCTTGGAGGNCAGACTGTGGGGGCGATATGCTGACTCTGTAAACCGCTTAGAGAGGGCTGAAAGCCCTATAAAGTGGTATATAAGTCTAACTGCTATTGCTATTCTATAACAGTGCCAACATACCACACCTTACATATACATGAATTTTCACTCTTTGTTTTCATTAGATACCATATTTTTTGGACTATAAGACGCACTGGAGTATAAGAAACACATAGATTTTGAAGAGGAAAACAAGAAAAAAATAGTTTTTGGCCTCCACGTGTCCAGTTTTTGCCCTCCCCGGCCCCCAGGAGCACTCTGCAGGCCTCCCAAATCCTCTGTGCATCCTGTTTTTGCCAAAAATGGGCCAGTTTTTGGCTTCCCAAACCCCCCATGCATCCCATTTTTGCCCTCCCCAGCCCCCCAGGAGCACTCTGCAGGCCTCCTGAACCCGCTGCGCATCCCATTTTTGCCCCAAACACGCCCATTTGGGGCGAAAACAGGACACGCAGGGAGGGTTTTGGGAGGCCAAAAGCAGGGCATTATTAGGTCTATAAGACAGACATTTCCACCCACTTTTTTATGGGTTTTTTTGGGGTGGGGAAAGAAAAATACGACACTTTCCTAATTTGTATGGTTATTATGTTGGTGCAAATTATCATTGTGGCTGAGGTTACCTGACATGATTAATTGAACTGTAGTTTACTCTATTTCCTGCATTTGCCCAACATATTTAAACGTTAATTAATCACACAGGCAGGATCTGGGCACACTGCTAGCTAAACTTTTCTTCCATGGCTTGATTGAACACAGACTTTCCTTTCTGATGCCTGTTCTTGAAACCTGATTAAAATGGCAAAATAATAGTTATTGTTCCCTCTGTACAGTTTTTTCAGATTCAAAGGGCAGGATGGGAAGTTTGGAGTGCAAAGGGAAGCTCCTAGAACAACTGTCCAAAACTTCTTAAATGAAGTGCAAATTTTCAGTGGATGAGCTTCTGCTGCAGAGCATAGCTTAAATAAAGCTGGGGTGGGGTGGGGAATGCAGCTGTTTAAAGGACTGTATATCTACACCATATTTGCAAAGTATAAGACGCACTGGAGTATAAGACCCACCAAGATTTTGAAGAGGTATTTTTTTTAAAGTATTTGCACTCTGCAGACCTCCCAAATCCTCTGCACGCCTCAATTTTTGTGAAAAATGGGGCATGCAGAGAGTTTGAGAGGCCTGCAAAGTGCTCTTGGTGGCTGGGGGGGGGGGAACGAGCAAAAAATGGCCCGTTTTTTGCTTGTTTTTGCCCTCCCTTTGCAGGCCTCCCAAACCCTCT